CGTTCGTTGATCAGGTGTCACAGATATCTTCCTTCACCGCATGTTTGGCGAAACTAAAATCGATGGCCCGCAGGACTTCGATACATTTCAAAAGATGCTTGAAGCAGGTGGAGAAGCGGAGCAGTATGCACAGGCGATGCTGGTTGCGTTCTTCCGATTCTTTTGGAAGACAGGTGCTAAACCGTTCGTGTATCTGGGGAGCTTGCAAGCTGACACACTCTCAGAAACAAAAGACGGATGGTTATGTTTGAACGGATCTGGTCACAGGTAAACCCGTTCATTAAATATGGGGTAGTGCATGGCGTTAGTCCGCACTTCGTTTTCGATCACGCATCATCATACAAGCCAAACTCTCATGAATGGTCGGCGTTCAAATCTATTCGTAGAGCGATCAACAGCACTCGTGTTTCAATCGAATCACTACCCAGCCCGGACAACCCGGAGCAATGGAAGATCCCAGCGTGGGCGACCGAGATTGATTACCAGAACAAGCAAGGTGATCCCAACGCTACACACTTCCGCACACCCGAGATGCTTGGGCATGTAACTCGGATGCTGGATGTGTCGGGATACCAAACACACTGGGAATCGAACGGAGGTGTACCGGCGTTCCTCGTTGACTGTCATCGTAAGGGGCATCGTGCGTTTATCGCTGATGGAATGACAGCAGATAGAAACACTGGCATGTCGATCCCTGAGATGCGTGAAGCTGCACAGAAGGCTTTGAAGATGGGAGGTGGGCGATGAGTAACCCAGACACACCCCGCCTGACGGACGAGGATCTTGATCAGTGGATCAACGCGATCAACGGAGCAAAAACCAGAATCCATGAGCAGCAAGCAGAAATCACCCAACTCCGCACCGAACTCACCGCGAGGGATAAGGCTTTGGAGAAGGCGAAGAAGACGCTGGAACAGTATGCAGACAAAGATGAATGGGCTACTACGACGGAAGCGGGTGTCCTAAAGGGCATGGGTCTTATGAGGAGGCTTGTTTTATAGGTATTTCACTTGCAACCCAAACCCTCGCCGAGATCAAGGAGGTGTGTGATGGGTGATACACCAAAGCCAGAAATGGTTCTTCGTCCCGGTGACAGAATATCCGTTCAAAAAGTCGCGGCAGATAGGCATGTCTGGTCTGTAGATCCAGAGTCTGGGCTGTCCAAGATTGAAGAGTATTGCAATGAACAACAAGCAACCATCGACCGACTCACCGCCGAGCTTGCAACCAAAGACAAGCAGATTGAGTCGTTCACCGATCGAGTGAGTAAGGATGCAATAGAACTCACCGCCGCACGCATGGAGATCGCGAGCTTGCGGGCGATTGTTGAGAAGTTGCCGATGACGGCGGATGGGGTGAGAGTTGTGCCAGGCACCAGTCTTTGGGGGCCGATAGACTCTGATCTGAATAGTCATAAGCATGGGGGATGGCTCATGGATGAGAACGGAAATCTATGGAACAGAAGTATTTTGACTTGTGCACCCAAGTATTCAGCGCAGAAACACAAGATGAAGTTTCGCTACTCCACCCGCGAAGCGGCTGTCGCCGCACAACGAAAGGATGACGATGACAAGTGAACAAGATAAGAAATCGTTTATTAACGGGAATGTCACGCATGAAATGATCGCTTGCCGTGAGCGAATGATGAACTCGGCTACGGATTGGGTTTCTGCATTTGAAGGGGACACTGACCACAATATGAAAGCTCTTCGTACATGCTTGCAACTCGCTTTCGATGACGGGTGGGATATGGCTACGCACCCAGAACTGAGAAGTTTAGATACCGACGCGATGATCGAGCGGGGAGGTGAGTGATGGAATACCAAATCGGACAATGGAAGATTGAACCCTTCTCAGATGGTTGCTACTGGAAAATCACTAGGGCATCGGGAGGTGAAGAGATTGTGAGTGCGAGTGAGCTTAGTGATTTAAGGATGCTGTTGAATGACTATGAGGAGATGCACAACAATGACTGACCTAACACGAATCCCCGCCGCTGTTGCGAAGATCAAAGCTGCGGGTGGGCCGGAGTGGTATGCGTGGTGTGATCTAATCTACGAAACGATTGAGGGTAGCTCCTACTTTGAGCATTGCTCACCTACAAGGTGTGTAGAAAACCCCCAAGCCTGCGAGGCTGCGGTGATTGCGTATGCGATGGAGTTACGGGGATGGTTTTATCAAAATATCGGGACTTGCGGCATAATGCCCTGCCCTAGCGGAGATGGTCGTTGGGAGTTTTCAATATGGGCGAACTGCAAGCGAACTACCGCCATGTATGACACACTTCTCGCCGCCTCCGCCGCCCTGATCCTCGCAGTCGCCGAGAGAGTGGGGGGTGGGGTGTGAATGATATGTTGTTTTCGATAGGAGTACCGTGCATTTTTATAGGGTTCGTATCTGGATACATCACAGGACGACTGACGGTGTCTTGGAATGAGTTCAATCTGGGATTTGATGAAGGTATCAAATACGCTAAAGAAAAACGGATGGAGTTAAAAGACTCACAAGAGACCCCCAATGACCTACCAACCAACGACTGACCCACGAAGCTTCCAGATCAATGCAAAGGAACTGCAAGAGAAGTGGGCGAGTATGGACGAGATGCTCTCGCAAGGACATCACACCGACACACCCACCCAAACACGAAAGGATAAACAATGGAAAGCAATGCAACGGCTGGGGTGACTGACACACGCCCTTCCGACGAGATGACGGGGAAGGTGATGGCGAAGAAAGAGGGGTGGGATGAATGCGATGTAGATGTAAACGAAGAAGGGTGCTTTGGTGTTGAAATCGGGAATGATGCGACATCGTACCGGCCTGATCCCCGCGACGACGATGAGGCAGCGATGGAGTCGCTTGGGTGGGTTCTTACCAACTGGGACAAATCCGCAAACATGCTTTGGTATCGGGATGGTATGTGGTTTGTAAGGCTCACCGATGGGTCTGGCTATATGCTCGGTCGGACAGGTCAGGAACTTCGATACGCCGTCGTCCGGCTCGCTGCGAAGGTGATGGGGATTGAGGAGACACCCAATGACTGACACACAAGAACTCAACGAGCTGTACGAAATCATAACGGAGATCGGGATATGGCCTACTTACATCCGAAAAACTATATCCTGTGGAGATGTTGAGTGGAAGTATGACAATGTTCATGACCTAGAAGATACATCTATGCCTATCAATCCCGACCATGTGCTACACATCGCTCGCGGCATCGCGGAGGAGTGGTTGAAGAAGGAGACTGAATGCTGTGGCCCTTCACAGAACACATGGGGCGATGGTGACACCTACTGGTGGCAAGGCGAAACAGGAATGGTTCATATAGAGAACTCACTCCCAGACGCACTCAGATACGCCCACTCGTCAAGTAATCCCTGACAACTCAACTTGTAAGGCGCTCTTACAGGTTCAAACCACAAAGGAAATCAAATGGCATCATTCAACAAAGTCATGCTCATGGGAAACCTTACCCGTGACATCGAGATCAGACACACATCAGGAAACACCGCAGTTGGCAACTTTGGACTTGCAGTTAACCGTAAGTTCAAGACTCAATCAGGCGAGCAGCGCGAGGAGGTTTCGTTCATCGACTGCACGGTATTCGGTCGAGGCGCTGAAACACTCAGTCAGTACACGCAGAAGGGGGACGCGCTGTTTATCGAAGGCCGCCTGAAAATGGACGAATGGCAGGATAAGAGCACCGGCGCGAAACGAACCAAGCTCGGCGTTGTTGTTGAAAACTTCCAGCTTATGCCTAGAGGCGGCTCAGGCGACGGAGAGAACCGCGGGTATTCAGGGGGGCAATCACGCCAACCACAGGGGGCAAACGCCGGAGGCATCGACCACGACTCTATACCGTTCTAATCTGATCCTTATTTCCCGCGAGAGAGGCGTTGTCCCAACCGGTTCAGCGCCTCTTCTCGTTTTTTGCACCCGCCGCATTGCTTCACTTGCTTCACTCGCCCCAGCGTTGCGATACGCGCCGCCGTGTTGATCGTGCCTTTGAGCATGGTTCCAAGCCCGCCAGCTTGCCGCTCGACCGTTGGGAATCGTACAGGACGAGTACCATCCACACAATCGCCTGAACGCCCGCCTAGAGCCGTTGAGCAGTTTCCGGGGATCTGACGCTCAAAGAAGTCGTTGCCCGGCGTGGTGGGTGTTGTCGTCGGTCTCAGGAAGAATGTGTAGCGACACACGCCCGGCGTGTCAGGATCTCCGCTTTCTGACCAGTGAGCAACGACTGACCCCTCACCCGCAACCATCCCCGGCTCGACTCGATACTTGAATGTTGGTTGATTCGGGAAATCTGCATGGTTCGGCAAAGACCCGCAACGAACGGCAATAAACCACTCGCCGGGGCATGGGTCTGGGGAGCCTGTGACCGATACCGGATCATCGGCTGAAACCTCGTCCGTCGGTGAGTACCGCACATCTTCGTGCATCAGCGTGACGCTTTCAGCGGACACCGAATCGGGATCGAACGCGATTCGCCTTTCGCCCCCGCACTCAATCGCAACGAGCGACACGACCCCCTCACATTCCTCGGTGGAATACGCCAGCCCTTCGACCGGTTCATCCTCGCTGATCTCAAGCGTTAAAGCGTAAAGCTCATCGTTCTCGGTGTTCCGAGCAGACAAGGCCCATTCAGGGGCAAGCTCTCGATCGTATGTAATCACTTGCGGGACTGTTTCAGGGTCACACGCGCGGGCAATGCGGGTATCGGTGCAAAGCTCGAAGGATGGAAGCTCGCCGTTTTCTCCGAGATTCGTAAACAGATTGACAACGGATGAGTTGCCCGTCATCTCGCGAGTCGTTTCGCCCCCAGAAATCAGTGTTGTTGTTGCGTTTGAATGGCCGCCGCTCAGTCCAAAGCTCTTATCGAGCGTTGCAGAGCTGTTCGCGTCCGAGTATGAGTCGTTGCAGGATTCGATCCCCTGCAACGATCCGCTCACACCGAATGTACCACCGAGCGAGATTTCACTTCCGCTGGCAAAGGTTCGTGTCACATCGCCATTCTCAAATGTTGCGTTTGCACCCCACAACCCGCCCAGAATGCCGGGCAAGCCTGCGCCGTTTTGGTTTGATAGAAAGTCGCTGGGATTATCCCCCGTCGAGTAACGAGCAGTCCCAACGGTACGCTGGGAAAACGCACCGTTCTGCGTTTTTACTTCTTCGGTAAAGCGAGCGTTGTACGACCAAGATATCAGACGGGGTACACCGCTCGCGTCAGCCTCCCAGAGAACGCTGCGAGAGATTGACACCCGCCGATCGAGTGTCACAATACCCGCCGAGTTTGTGCCTGTTTCACGGCCCGACGCATGGAACAAGGTGTAGGTTCGCCCCACACACTCAAGCGACTCGCCCGGATAATCACAATCGCCGAAAATACGCGCAGTGTACCCGCCGTTGTCGCACTCAGGGCAAGGCTCTTGGTCGAGGCATGGCGCAGTATGACAGTTCCCCGACGCTGTAGCGCTTGAAATATCAAGGATCAGGGATTGGGGCACGACTCCCAGATGATTCCCATACCACCCGTAGCACACGCCGTCGATACTAATCGCCCCGCCCGACTCTCGATCCGACTCAGGCCAAAGCGTTGCCAGCTCGTCGGTGTTTTCGAGATACCGAGCCTCGGACTCAAGGCTGCAAAAACAGGGTAGGATCTTGATGTAGCAATCCGAAATGACATCATCACAACAACACGGCGCACCATCCTTATTGGTGATGAGCCGCCCGTTGAGCGCTTGAAGTCTCCCGTTTTTAGCGATCAGTTTAGCCATTAGGGAATCGGGGTAGGCCCGCCAACATCACGCTTCAAAGAACCAACATAGGTGATGTTCGAAGTGTCAACTTCTGAACTCTCGATGATCTTCGAACCCGAAACCGTGAACGCCGTAGCGCCAGGGGTGAACGCTCGCCGGTTGTCCGAGAAGTCGATCGTCCCGCCAACCGCGTTGACAGTCGGAACCGCGCCAGCTCGCCAAACAACTTTCCCGCCAGTGATCGTAATCACTTTGCTGGTAAATGTTTCCGAGTCGTCGGGGTCGAGCGTTACATGGGCGTTGCCGCCGATCGTCAGCAGGTCGGGCATACGCTTGATGGTATGCGTGCCGCCTGTGATCTCGATCAGGGTAGCGTCCGTTCCTTCGTACTCAACCACCGACCCGCCCGCCATAAGGTACAGGTTCGTGATGATCGTCGATCCGTTGGCTGTCAGCGTTCCGCCGTTCATCGTGACATTGACGAAGGTACCGCCCTGCAAGAAGTTGATCGAGTTCCCGCCGCAGTCGTAGTTGTTGATCGTTGCGCCGTCCCCGCCCGCAGTGATGTACATCGTGACCGTGCCGCGATTGCTCACAAACGCATCTGCCGAGTTATCGAAGTCAGCGATGAACGCACCGTTTGAACCGCCCCCGATTGTCCCCGAAGCGCCCGGCTTGATCGTCATTGACTCAAACCCGCCGACGATTGCCGATTGGTCTAGGTCAGCACCCACGATCGTGCCGAACGGGAGTTCGATGATGAAATCATCCGTCGCCGCCATTGCTGAACCGCCCCAAGCGGCTGCATTAAACGCTGTCGCGCCCTGTACTAAATACTTTGGCATTTTCAGCCTCCCCTAAATAGGTCTTAACCATGCAGACACGCGCCCGCCGTTTACTGTACCCGATACCGCCGTTGTTCTAAATGTGATCCAATCGCCCGCACTTACTGAAACAGGCGAGTCCGAATAATCAGAGTAAGCGTGTTTCACGCCAGATGATAGCGAAACATCAACGCCCGTAGATGATGAGGATGATTCGCCAATAGCGCCTTTGTAAACCTCAACCGTAGCCGTCCCCGATGTGTTCGCATTGACCGACAACGAAGCCGAGACAATCACCGCGTCGAATGGAACGACACACCCAAAGCTATCACCCACATCGCCGTTACCCATTGAAAACTGAAAACCGCTTGATGTGCCCGTGCTTAGGTTCGATCCCTCCTCGGCCAAGATACAGAAATACCGGCTAGGGTCTTGTGTATCGCTCGCAACCTCGCTGCGTTGATACACCCACAAATCAACCACAAGCCGCTTTGAACCTTGCTGACATTCGCCATGACCCACGCGCCGGGATCAAGGTGTATATCAGTGATCGTGTCGTTATCCAGAGTCAGGGTCGCCGCAGGCACAAACGAAACCGGAGTCATCGTCTCAGTCAGCGCCCGCGCATATCGACGATACCCGTTGCAACCGCCGACTCTGGGGACGCGAGAACGGAAGCGGCATACTGGCCGTGCGCTGCGAACATCGCCCGCGTACCCGCATAGCTCGCGTCGATCCGCTCTTTGTGGACAAACCCCGTCATATCACCCGCTAGAACAACCTCGATCTCGACTTTTCGCCCAGCTTGCACCGTCGTTACATCGAAATGCAGGAACGCCGTGTCCACAACATCCAGCTCAAGGATCACCGAACCGTCAAGCGTCACCGTTTTAGCGATAGCGAACGACGAACTAGGGGTTCTAAACCCCGCATCGAACGCCCGTTTAACCTCGATCACCGCTGTATCAGGGTTGCCGTCCACCGGTTTCGCTTGGATAAACGCCGTTTGGTAGTTCTGCACATCAATGGCGCCGACGATTCCTTCGTAGTCCGTGTCAACAATCATGATCCGCACTCCTCAATCGCCGCAAACTCACCCTTCATGATGCTGATCCTCCGCTCACTCGTCCCCACTGTCCGAATAGACACCGGAACTTCTTGTCCGATCTTGAACGGACAAGCTCAAGGTTGAAATCTGGGTACTCGCTGCTGATCCTGTCGTCGTCTTTAGGTTTCACGCCGGCGTATCGCTCAGGAATCCCCGACTCGTCAATCTCGACCGTGTAGGTGATAGCATCGGGCGCTGACGGTACATCAACGCTCCGAGCAACAATCACACCAACAACGACGACCGATCCTCGCATCAGCTTACCCCCGGCAGTGACAGGTGACCCGTTGGGTTCTCAGGGTAAGATGGGGAGAACTGGATCACCGGAGGATCTTCTGGGTTCGGCCCCGGCCCCCAATCTAGGCGATTAAACGGCTTGATGATGATCGCTCATCGTCCTCGCCTTGATCTTCATGGGGGAATAAGTACCCGCCGATCCACCCTAGATTTCGACCTGTGACGCTTCATACACCAACGTATCAGGTACGCCCGATCATTGATCCATCGGTAAGTGAACCGGTACTTATCCACCGAGAGCCGTCGCACATCGTCCGCTTTGAACAGGTAACGCACGCCGTTGATCGTGTGGATCTTGTTTGTTTGAGCGTTCAGCGCTTGAGTGATTGCGAGCTGGGTAGTTACACCAGCGCCACCGATCACCGTTGCATTCAACTGCACGCGATGAACTATTCGGGAATACCGAAAGGTTGCCGTCGTCTCGACGACTTCGTAAACCGTTTTTTCAACCAGAGACCCCGCCTCGCCGAACGACTTGGTGACCTGCTGAAACACAGGATATCCACATCAATATCCTCGAAGGTGGTATCAATCGTGGTGTATTCGTCCTCGGTGTATCTTCTGGCGGGATCGGGTCTTGTATTCGCGGGGGACATACTGGACAGTGATCAGCGTACCGCCGCCTTGCGGGACATACGAGGCGTTGCTGACGACTAGGCCGAGTATCGGGGGTGTTCGGCGCCGAACGCCACACCCTCAGATGCCGATTGCCCAATCGTCGATTCACCGAGAACCCGTCGTTCGTGAAAACGCGGGTATCGCCTAGACCTTTGGAGGAAACGACGCGCCCGGTTGTAAAAATACTGTTCCTTCCAAGCCATTATCGTTTCCCTTGATTGCTGCTGATATTCCGTAGCTCGGTAAGTATTGTAT